GACTCTAGACTGTCCACAAGAACGTTAAGTTTGATCAATGGCAACAAGAAGACTAAACATGCTGCACCCTTATTATTGACATCTATTAGTAATTGCATGAGGACTATACCGCACGCATACAAACCTGCAGACAAGACACAGCAAACTACACCGACATTACAAGCAATAAACAAAAAATCAAATGAAGAAAGGGGATCCGGGGGGTGGGGGGGGGGGTCTGTAATAACACCGGCTTCACTCAATATATGAACAACAAAACAATGAATTACAAAAAAGACTCGGGGGGGGGGGGGGGGAGGGGTACTCGATTGAACGTTTCGGAATCGAATTCTTTGAAATCCAAATATAGTGACAATCGAGTGAAAATGGGGATTTCGGGCTACAACGCATGCGCTGACTGCATAAGAAAATATATCAACCACCTATGACAGTTAAAATACATTTGTTGTGTTTAATAACATCGTGGTTTTACTGACACCAACTCCATTGTTGGGACTGACAGAACTGTGACACGACTGAATTCCGCTTCACTCGATTGCAATCCTGGGACGTTCTGGACTGACAATCGAGCATGCTCAGGGAGTTTTAACAACAATACTAGTTACAAGTTAGATTTATAGCTAATAGTATCAGTCATCCCAGTTATGCTATCTGGTTACATTAGATATAAACTGAGTTTAATTACCATCTACTCTCATCATTATTTTCTTCTTTTTTTTTTTAGAATTTCATTGTCTAAGTATCAAAAGACTGAACACAGTTCTAGATCTATAAATTGTGCAAGTTTGAAACAATTTGAAGGGAAAGGTGTTTAAACGGTGTACTATTGCTAAAATTTCTAATCAGCAAAGACCACAGCTACTATATAGGTTGGTTTGTGTACAATGTTTCATAAAGATATCTTCAATGGTTTATGAGATATGCTCGGGAAACAAAATGGGGACAGGAGCCCATTTTAATACCCCTCTTCTCCATAACTTTATTCAGTGCCTGATTATAAATGCCAATCAGATTTTTAAAAGTTATCAAGGACAATGACAAGTTTGACAACAAAAATTAACAAGATGACTAGTCATCACCATCCCGCACCCTTGAACTTGTTTGGAAGCCATACGGATAAACAACTTGTTGGAATATCAATGGGACTAGTCAGAAGATTCATACACTGATCATAGTAGCTCGGCGAGGCACAGTCGCTACTCCCTGTAAGGTTTGCACAACAACCTCAATCAGCTGCTGTATGTTAAACATTAAGCTTATACATCAGAAAATAAAACTCTTTAATAGTTTGATGTTTGTATAAAGTTTTAAAAAGATTTCTTTGAACAGATAATGAAATATGCTCTAGAAATGAAATCGGGACAGAAGGAAGGTCATCAAAAAATAAAATAATAGGTTGATGAATGTAAAAGTGTTATAAAGGTATCTTGAACAGTTTCTGAGATATGCTCTAGAATAATAATTATATACCGAAAACTAATTAAAATGTGTAGTAAAAATCATTCAACAGAGAATTTTTTTTCCAGGGAAACACAAAAATTATTAAATCCGACAAATTTCTAATTAGCAAAAGGTACAACTACTGTAATAGGATGATGTGTGTTTAAAGTTTCAAAAAGATATTTTGAACGATTTATGAGAAATGCTCCGGAAACAAACAAAATTGTGCATAAAAACCAAGTCAAATTTGTTTCCATGGAAACAAAAAAATGATTAAATCCCAGATATTCCAAATTAACAAAAGGCACAACTAATATAATAGGTTAATGTTTGTAGAAAGTTTCATGAAGATTTCTTGAATGGTTTATGAGATATGCTCTGTAAACAAAGTCAAATTTGTTTCCATGGAAACATGAAAAAATATAAATCCCAGAAAATCATAAATAGCAAAACCCACAACTATCACAGATTGATGTTTGTACAAGTGCCAAGAAGATATCTTGAACGATTTAAGAGATATGCTCCGGAAACAAAATTGTACACTAAAAACTAGGTCAAATTTTTTTCCATGGAAACACAAAAAATATAAATCCCAGAAATGTCTAAATAGAAAACGGCACAACTACTGTAATGGGTTGATGTCTGTACAAAGTTTCAAAAAGATATCTTGAACGGTTTATAGGATATGCTCCGGAAACGAAATTGTACACCAAAAACTAAGTCATATTTGTTTCATTGAAAACACAAAAGATAGGTTGCCAGGCAACGGAATATACGCCCACAGCAGCTAACTCATCGGGCAGTCAACGAGAGTTGTCGCATATTTTTACTTTCTTTCGGTAACGAAACATTTATAATACATTAAAATCTGATTAAGAGTAACAACTCATTAAGTAATTATCAGAAAATCATTGGAATTTGTTTGGTTTTTATAAAGTTCTGCCCCATTTTAACGTTTAGTATTCGAAACATTTAATATCATGGATTTAGCTATTCAAGTTATCAAAATTCATTGAAAATCAATATACTTGTTCTTCTCAAGATCTTAAACTTTAGCCTATAGACACTGTAACTCGGGTATCATTTAATTTTGTGTATCTAGCACTAATTTCTTTCACATTCGTTTAATATCCAATCTCTGTTTAAAAATTCGTAAAAATTGTTTAAAATCACCAAAGATAGGTTGCCAGGCAACGAAACATACGCCACAGCAGCTAAATCGTCCGGGCAGTCAACAAGTGTTGTCGCATATTTTTACTTTTTTCGGTAATGAATTTATAATACATTAAAATCTGATTAAGAGTAACAACCCATGAAATAATTATCAGAAAACCATTAGAATTTGTTTGGTTTTTATAATGTTCTGCCACATGCTAACGTTTAGTATACGAAACTTTTAATATCATGGATTTAGCTGTTCAAGTCATAAAAATTTATTGAAAATCAATATACTTGTTCATCTCAAGATCTTAAACTCTGTGTATCAATCTGAAGTCAATCGGATGATAACTTTAGTCTCTGGAGCCTCACTTGATTTTTCAAAGTGATCAAGGGCCATAACTTTGGCAGTAATTATCGTAAATCGCTGAAAATCAATAGGCTTCTTCGTCTCATGACCTTAAACACTGTGTATAAATTTAAAGTCAAGCCTCTAGAGCGGCCACAAGATTTTTCAAAGTGATCAAGAGCCATAACTCTGGCAGTAATTATCTGAAATCGCTGAAAATCAACAGGCTTCTTCGTCTCATGACCTTAAGCACTGTGTAAAAAATTTAAAGTCAATTGGATATTAACCTTGGCCTCTAGAGCGTCCACAAGATTTTTTGAAGTGATCAAGGGTCATAACTGTAGCAGTAATTATCGAAAATCGCTGAAAATGAATAGACTTCTTCGTCTCATGACCTTAAACACTGTGTATAAATTTAAACTCAATGGGATATTAACTTTAGCCTCTAGAGCGTCCACAAGATTTTTCAAAGTGATCAAGGGCTATAACTCTGGCAGTAATTATCTAAAATCGCTGAAAATCAATAGGCTTCTTCGTCTCATGACTTTAAACACTGTGTATAAATTTAAAGTCGATCGGATATTAACTTTGGCCTCTAGAGCGTCCACAAGATCTTTTGAAATGATCAAGGGCCATAACTCTTGCAGTAATTATCGGAAATCGCTGAAAATCAATAGGATTCTTCGTCTCATGACCTTAAACACTGCGTATAAATTTACAATCAATCGGATATTAACTTTAGCCTTTAGATCGTCGACAGTATACGACATTTCAATGTGGGCATATACAAATATACTGAGCGCCATGGAAAACGCATCACTTTTTTTTCCCAAATATTTTATTACTAGGTGGTTTTGTATGTATAATATTATGCAATACTATGAACTATTGTTTCACACAATGCTCCCAAACGCAAAAAATATCGGCCTGTGTGCAAAAAAAAATTTCACGAGATGCACAGGAAAAACCCAATATTCACATGCAGCATTGTGTGTGAGACCTTTAAAAGCATGTTTTCAACTTAATGTGCAGTACATGAACTGTGAAACGTCAATCTGTCGTAATTTGTTGTTGGACGTGTGAAGGAATCGAGCTAGAGATGCCGAGATTCACTGAAAATCAACGGAATGAAGCCATGGGAATGTCCAGGGCTGGCATGCTATTGCCAGACACTTCCATAGTCATCAGTCCACTATTGTAAGGTTGGTGGAACGTGTTCGAGTTACTGGATCAAATCGCAAAAGGCACAATTACTGTAATAGGATGGTGTGTGTACATAGTTTCGGAAAGTTATCTTGAACCGTTTATGAGATATGCTTCGGAAATGAAATCGGGACGGACCCCATTTCAATATCCCTCCCTAACATCGTTCGGCGCGGGATAATAATTATCAGAAATTTAACAAGATCACTGCGAATGAATTTCGGGTAAATCGGGTATTAACTGCACGTCTACAGAGACAGGGGTGACAGTGTACTAACACATTTCAATGCGGGCGTAAAAAAAAATTGTTACAAATACGAATATCTCCAGTGGTTCCACAAAAATCAAAATGCTGATTATTTATGCCAGTCAGACAGAATTGACGACATCAGTCGTTTGCGACGTTGGAGAGAGAAAGAGAGAGGAGAGAGAGAAATGGGGGTCAACGTCCACTCGAAACAAACTACGTAGGTCATTTCGAGACTAACATATGGTTCAATTTTTATTTCAATAAGTCACTTGCGCGTAGGGGTCTTTAGCAGTGGGGGGAAACCGGAGAAAACCCATGACCCTACTGCTTGTCACATACAACCTGGGAATCGAAATCACGCCAGTTGACCCAATGACAGACCTTTTAATACAACGCACATGTGCTAACCATTCGGCCATCCAACTCCCCTCGCGACGTTGGCCTTATTTCTTTCAGAATGTATTATGAAAAATTGCTATATAATAATCAGTACTGAATAAGAAGTCGAAAAAATTGCTTAAGCCACTGAATACGACAGGAACACGATGATAATATAAGGCATTTGAGTTGCTGACTTGATGAGCTGACAAATAAAACACATTAAATTTCACAACAAATTTAATCTGATTAAAATATAAAAATTCAAAATAAATATTAGTATGCAATTTAAAACGCCTGCTAAATAAATATCAACAAAGATTGCCAGGCACCAGAACGTAAAGGCTCTTTCATTTGGGATAGGCGTACTTATATGAATACAAGATCGATGGGCTACAACCCATAAAGTTATCTAAAATCCACAGGCTTCTCCTCTTTGATATCAATGCATACCATCGGATGATAACTTCTGAGTCAATAACGATAACGAGTAACAAAATACGCCGTCTATTCTTGAGACGCCTCCAATAGCCAATTTCAAGTCGCCAAATGACTAGGCAATGGCGTCCACGTGCTAGTGAGAAAAAGGTGGCTCAACTATTGGTCAATAGTGTGGATTACTGGAGAGAGAGAGGGAAATGGGGTTTAACGTCCACTCGACACAAACTAGGTCATTTCGGGACTAACATATGGTGTAATTTTATTTCAATAATTTGCTTGCGCATAGGGGTCTTTAGCAGTGGGAGGAAACTGGAGGACCCAGAGAAAACCCACGAGGTTGGACAGGCGACCCTACTCCTTGTCACGTACAACCGGGGATTCGAAACCATGCCAATGACAGACTTTAGGATACAGCGCGCACAAGCTAACCATTCAGCCATCCAACTCCCCGCGTGGATTACTGGAGGCACAGTGGAAACTTATTACAGCTGTGTCACTTTAATTCGTCGCTGATTAATTGTTGACTGCCTAACGAAGTTTGTATTCTAAATACCTACCTTATACCCGTTCAGATTTATCAAATTGTTTATGAATATAATGGAGTTAAAAGTCATGTCGACAGATCATTTCATTTTTATTTACAAATTATCTGGTACAATTTTCCGGTTTTCGTCTTATAATCCCACCTTTCAAAATTTAGCACGTGGAACCAGGCCTGGGAAATACCAAAGTTTTTACATAATCTTTCAGTGGCTTTTAGCGATTGAGGAACACATTAACAGAACACAATTTTTTATGGATAAGTATCATAATTATCGTTATCAAGCACAATCTGAAAAACAATTTTTATTTATATATTTTATCAAGTATGCTCTATGTTATCCCGTTTTATTATGCAAATATAATATTGTCTGGCTTTATGTGGCATTGTACATGTGCGCTATTGAAATTAATAGGATTCTTTTGTGTTGTAATTTCAATGGTGTATATCAATTTCATGCAGATCGGATGAGAACTTTTGTATAACGGCTAACAGATTCTACCAGTGAAACATGGGCCATAACCCTTGAAGCAACAGAAATTCAATATGATTCTTTGTCTCACTAACATAAACAGCATGTGTAAATTTTAAAAAAAAAGATCGGGTGATAAATGTAGTCTGTAGAGTTTTCACAAGAAATTTTGCACAACAGATGGAGGCAAGGACAATATAAAATACCACCACATTTTCATGTGGCTGTATAAAAACCACCCATTTGTAGTGAATAACAAATTACACATACATAATTATCACTGAAGGACAGTGATACTATAAATAAATTGCAAGAAATTAATCATTAAAAAATTATGGGTAAATGTTGAATCATCAAATGAATTATTACAAGAGGTCTAAGTATTGGTTAAGAACAGTGGAGGGCTTGCCAAGGATATGAATGTCTAATGTATTATGTATCTCTTACAATAATTGTTTAAGTACATGTAGCTGATTAATCATTTTCAGAATCTCAGTTTATGGTAATTCTAAATGATTAAAAACAATGTTTTTTCAATTATTAAAATTTGTGTTTAATATGTCAGGCACAACTATCAATCATAATGTACTGTATTTAATAACCAGTGTACAGACGTAGGTCAACATTACATGTATAACAAACTACCTACTCTCCTTAGATCCCTCCTTCCCCTATGTTCCACCCACTATCTTTCATAATCAAAATATCATAACAAATTTACGTACTGATTATATAAAATGATCCTTTTTGAGTGCTACTACTAGTTTGCCTGCGGATCCTTCTACAAATATATGCATATCAAATACATGTTAAATGAAAATAACATTGAAATAAGCCAACAGTGAGGCTGATGTCCCCCAACCGAAATAAAAAAAACAAAACAGATGACACATATCAATTAATTGCACATTTATCTTTTTCAAAAGTATTGAGAAATCAAACTGATTATCTATGCTTAATCTAAGCATAAAATGTTCACTATCAAACTCAGGTTTTGAAGTAGCTGGTAGTGAGTGAAGCTATAGACTAAGTTTCATCACTCTCCATCTGTTAGAATCAAAGTTATCTTGCCCCAAAGCATCGACCAAAGAAATTGCTTAGCTCTGCTTAGCTTTAATGGGAAATATTAATCATTGAACTCAGTCAAGACATTCGCCTAATGAACATATATACCTCAATTAAAAGCAGAATTGTTATGTTCCAAAGTCTTGACCAATCAAATTGCTTATCGCTTCTTAGCCTAAGCAGAAAATTCTCATTATCGAACTTAGTCAATGTATTGATATAATGAATCTATACTCAAGAGTTTTATTGCTCTCACCCAATTAGAACCAAAGGTATCATGTTCCAAAGTCTTAACCAATCAAATTGCTCATCTCTACTTAGCCTTAGTGGCATTCACGTACTAGACACCTACACCAATTTTGAACATTCTACCTCAATTAGAAGGAGAGTTAATGTGTTCCAAAGTCTCGACCAATCAGATTGAAGTTTCTACTTTGGCTAAGCAGAAAATGCTCAGCATCAAACCTTGTTAAGGTATTGATGTAATAAAACTATACACAAAGTTTCACCACTATCACTCAATTAGAATCAAAGTTGTCGAGCTGCAAAGTCTCGATTAATCAAATTGCTTATCGCTTTGCTTACCCTGAGCCGAAAATGCTCTCATAATCAAACTCGGTCAAGGTATTGATGTAATAAACAATACACCAAGTTTCATCACTCTTACTTAATTAATCAAATTGCTTATCTTTGCTTACTTTAAGCAGAAAATGCTCATCTTTGCTTACCCTAAGCAGAAAATGCTCATCTTTGAACTCCATCAAGGCATTCAACCAATCAATGCCTACACCAAGTTTGAACATTCTACCTCAATTCGATGGAGAGTTATTGTGTTCCAAAGTCTCGACCAATCCAATTGCTTATCGCTCTGCTTACCCTGAGCAGAAAATGCTCATTAACGAACTTAGTCAAGGTATTGATGTAATAAAACTATACACCAAATTTCATTACTCTCACTTAATTAGACCTCAACTTATCGTGTCCCAAAGCATCAATCAATCAAATTGAATATCTCTGCTTACCCTAAGCAGAAAATGCTCATCTTTTAACTCCATCAAGGCATTGACCTAATGAACACCTACACCAAGTTTGAACATTCTAGCTCAATTACAAGGAAAGTTATTGTGTCCCAAAAAGTGTGACGGACAGACAGACAGACGGATGGACAGACAGACGACAGACGGAGGGATGAACCCATTTTAATAGTCCCTTGATTTCTTCGAAACAATTTCAAATTACCCATAATGTAATTTATCAAATTGAAATTTATTTAAATGGTCCTTAGAATAATATGTTCGAAACTTGTGCTTGTTTAACCTTCAATTGCACCTTCTCAGCTCCTTTGAAATGGAATTTCTTTAAAAACCAGCTGCTGCCAGGCAGGATACGCCCACATTTTGCAAGAGATGGATAGAAAACAAGCTAAAAACATAAACGATTTTTTGAACAATCAGGGGCCATAATCCAGAAAATTATGGTCGGAAATGTGCAAATATCAAAAGGGACTGAGATTTTTGGAATGTAAAGATATGTTTTATGTTTTATCAAAATCGGATAAAAATTGTGACCTTTGTATTACATACTTATACACAATTTGCATACGAAAAACGACCATTTTGTCGGTCAGTTTCATTTTGATTTTCCCGAAATTCCATTTCAACCTTCATTATGGTGGAATGGTGATATATCTAAATGGTTTTTAAAATTGGAAAAAAAATTGTGACCTCTAGAGAATCCACAAGCTAAAAATGCTATTTTTCGACCAATCAGGGGCCATAATCCAGGAAGTTACGTTCGGATATGTTTGATTATCAAAAGGAACCAAGATCTTTATGATAAAAACATATATTTAAAGCTTCATCAAAATCGGATAAAAACTGTGGCCTCTAGAGGGCCCACAACCTTGATATACCATATTTTTTACACCATTTGCTTACAAAAGGCAACCATTATGTCCGTCAGTTTTTTCTGATTTTCACGAAATTCAAACTCAACCATCATTAGTGTATAACTGTGATATGTTGGGGTTTTTTTTAAATCGGATAAAAATTGTGACCTCTATAGGGACCACAAGCTCAAAGGCGATTTTTTTGTACAATCAAGGGCCATAATTCAGGAAGTTACAATCCGATATGCGCAAATATTGAAAGGAACCAAGATCTTTGGGTTATAAACATGTATTTCAAATTTCATCAAAATCAGATCAAAATTGTGACCTCTATAGGGTCCACAAGCTAAAAACGTGATTTTTCGTACAATCACGGGCCATAATCCATGAAGTTTCGATCCGATACATGCCAATATCGAAATATATGGACCGGGGCGATGACAATATACGTCCACATGAAAATGTCCGTGCATAAAAAGGCAATTTTTCGTACAATCAGGGGCCATAATTCAGGAAGTTTCGATTCGATATGCGCAAATATTGAAAGGAACCAAGATCTTTGGGATATAAACATGCATTTCAAGTTTCATCAAAATCGGTTTAAAATTGTGACCTCTATAGGGTCCACAAGCTAAAAACATGACTTTAAGTACAATCAGGGGCCATAATCCATGAAGTTTCGATCCGATACATGCCAATATCGAAATATGGAGGTAAACCTATATTTCAAGTTTTGTCAAAATCGGATAAGAATTGTGACCTGTAGAGTGTCCCCAAACAATTGTGGACGGACGGACGAACACGGGCGACGACAATATACATCGACATGAAAATGTGGGCATATAAAAAAACATCTATATACTACCTATATATAAAATGTGACTAAAATCTCTTCATAGTGAGTTTTGGGAATTGAAGTTGAAGCAAAAAAAAAACAAACATTTTTAAAATATCACAAAAGATAGCTTAGTAGAAAATTAAATGCCCACAGCTGCTAAGTCATCAGAAAATCTATAGAGGGTCTCACATTGTAATTCCTTATGAGTAATTACAGCATTTGCTACTAGACACTCTAAACTGATCACAGGCAACAACCCATGAAGTCATTATCAGAAATTGTTCTCCCCAGCATTTTCCATCAACAAAACTAACAAATTTCATGCACATGATAGCACAATCTGATTAAAATACAGATCTATATTTCGTTTCATTTTTTTTTATACTTTCAATGGCCTCTACTACATGAAGATCTGACCAGTTATAATGGGAGGTCGCGTCAGAAGTCATACAAGCAGCTATTGACCCTATGCCGTCAGACATTGTTTAATCAATCAAAGTCAACGTTTCTAGTGGTTTACCTACAGTTTCATGCAGAGCAAACCAAGAACTCACTGTAACATCAACTAGAATGCCTGTTATATAACATCTCTTCCAGATCCTAGTGTTGTGTAGTCTCGTTCACCCATAACCCGCTAGTCTTCAACGTACGGAGGTTCTGGGACCGTTGTCAATATTTGACCAAAAGTTCCACTGCCTATGCATTATCGGGAGTTTGGTTTTTTATGTGGTTAATTATCCAGTATTATATGGCCAAGTCATGATGAATTAGGATTTATTAAAAATCATAGATATGGCCCATGAAGAGAGAAATTTTACAATAAATTTTTTTTTAAGAGTGTTGGATATTGAACTGGCAATGCAGATGGATTTTCTGAATGGCAGTTCTTAAATTCATTTCATGGGAGTTCACATCTTGTTTTAGGACTAGTTACCTCCCTTAGACTTTGCTCATGATAATATAAGACTGGATAATCTAGCCAATGACCTATTATTCTCAAATGTTGACAACCCAGGAGCGTGCTGGCAGGGAGTTTAGGAGGACGGTGTCCTCCCAGGCCCCCATTAAACAATAAGTCCACCCGTATAAGCGAGCCCCCCCGAGAGCTCTAATTTTCACGCGGAATCACCTCAAAAAATTGAGAGTGTGCACGCGAAAAATCATACATACACAACAATTAGTAAAATATATTATGCTGACGTGCAAATGTCTGTCACCTTAAGGTGAAATGGTCTTTGATACATGTATTCATGCCTCGATATGTATAAGATGCAATTTATTATTTGGGTAGAAATACATTGTATTAGCATTATATTAAGCAGACCTGTCATGAGTGTCTTGTGTAGTACAGTAGTATGTCTTATAGTCAAAATAGCAGCATAAACTTGGAAAATATGATACCTAGATTTCTCCCAGAAGTGCTTGCAAAATGCGTTTCCCGTTGTCAAATTTCAAAAATTTTCTGGGGGCAGAACCCCCCTACCATCAGCGCGTCTTCAGGGCCAGCACGCCTCTGTGACAACCCATCCAGACTAATATTCGTAGAATATTTTTCTGGATGATAGAGACTAAGTGTTGTGAAGACAAGTAAAACAAATTTTTGAACTATAAAAAACAAAATGAAATAGGATCTGTGTTTTAATCAGATTGATGATAGCACATCAAATTCAAAAAGAACATAAACATATATAAATTTCAAATCAGTCGGATGCTAACGTTTGTCCCTAATAGGTCCAAATAGTTGAATTCACCTCATGAACATAAGCGTGCATAAATTGCATGTCAATCAGATGACAACTTGAGCCTCAGGGAATTTCACAAAATCTTCAGAGCAATAACTCTTAAAGTCATATTGGTCTCACTAATATAAACAATTCATATGAATTTCACGAATATTGTGGATGACAGACGAACATTGCAACAGCAAGTTATGGCCACATACAATTTGGGCATATAAAAGAGATACACAACATAAATAACTGTATCTCCACACGAGAAGTTGTTAATACAATGAGAAATGTCAATATTAATAAGACAGAATAGATTAAATTACTGTTCGCCATCATTAACTCAAACTCATGTAAGGATGATTATATTCACTTTAAAGATTGAATGTTGTGATGACATTGTCACCATTCTTCCAGAGTGATGGCACTATAAGAGTAATGTAAAGTGCTGTTATAATAATATTTTTAAAAAACACAAAATACACAGAGTTGCCATATCAAATGACACACAGTCTGGAACACATTAACACATTATGAAGATTGGTATTAGTAGCGCCGATGGAACAGCATAAAGGTTTTCATGTCCTTCTCCATCTGAAAGGCATAAAGATACTCTTAGAACATGCTTGATAATTTAATTATTGCTATGGGGTCCCAAATCCACAAAAACAAATGAAGCTAATTGGTGTGTTAGAAATAACATATGCAATATGCATGAATCAATATTGGAAGACATTCTGTGCATTTCAAAAGTCCAAATTTTAAAAACATAACAATGCTCAGTAAAAAAAAAAAGATTAATTTTTAAGGTTAGAAATACAGTTTTTGACAATGTACAATATTGTGTAACTTTTAGTTACAATTTTTATTTATAATCAAATTGATGAAATGGATATTTACATGTAAAGTGGTGTCGCTTTTATGAAAATCTATAGACTAATGCTACAAGTTTATGAAAGTTATGAAAAAATATTTAAAAATATGAAGACACTGAATTGTAAATAACTCATTTTTACACCTTTTTCATCTCTAAATCAAAATGGCACAAATACGAAACCGAAATAAAAACACAAAGATCAATATTTTGTGAAGCTTTAGTAGGGGCCTCCATCCTCATATATCAGATTTATAACCAGCGGCTGCCAGGTAGGATAGGCTCAAATTTTTCACGAGATGGATAGAGAACAAACTAAACAAAAAGTGATTTTTTGTAACATCAAGGGCCATAATTCAGGAAGGTACAATCAGATATGTGCGAATATCGACAGGAACCAAGATCTTTGGGTTATAAAAATGCATTTCAAGTTTCATTAAAATCGGATCAAAGTTGTGACCTTTAGTGGGTCCACAACCTTGATATACCAGATGTTTACATTATTTGCGTAGAGGGGTGGCCATTTTATCTGTCAGTTTTTGTCCGATTTTCACGAAATTCAAACCCAACCAACATTACAGTGTAACGGTGACTTATTCAAACGTTTTTTTTAAATTAGATAATAATTGAGGGACCACAAGCTAAAAACTCGATTTTTCGTACAATCAGGGGACATAATTCAGGAAGTTACGATGCGACATGCGCGAATATCGACAAAAAACCAAGATCTTTGGATTATAAACATGCATTTCAAGTTTCATCAAAATCGGGTGAAAATTGTGGCCTCTATTGTGTACGAGGGGCAGCCATTTTGTCCGTCAGTTTTGCCCTGTGTTTCACGAAATTCGAACTCAACCATCAATATGGTGTAACGGTGATATCATCAAATGTTTTTTTTAAATTGGATAAAAATTGTTAACTTTAGAGGAACCACAAGCTTAAAACGCAAAAGGGCCATAATTCAGGAAGTTATGATCCGATATGCGCGAATAACGAAAGGAACTAAGACCTTTGTGATATAAGCATAAATTTAAGGTTGCATCAAAATTGGAAAAAAATTGTGGCCTTTAGAGGCTCTATAACATTGATATACCACATATTTACACCATTTGTGTTATACGAGGGGCGGCCATTTTGTTTGTCAGTTTTGGTCTGATTTTCATGAAATTCGAACTCGACCATCATTATGGTGTAACAGTGATATATTCACACATTTTTTTAAATCGGATAATAAATGTGAGCTCTAGTGTGACCACAAGCTAAAAACACGATTTTTCGTACAGTCAAGGGCCATAAATATCGAAAGGAACCAAGATCTTTAGGTTATATCCAAATTTCATCAAGTTTCATCCAAATCGGATCAAAATTGTGATCTCTAGAGGGTCCACAACCTTGATATTTTTACACTATTTGCGTTCGAGGGGTGGCCATTTTGTCCGGCAGTTTTGGTCTGATTTTCACAAAATTAGAACTCAACCGTCATTAAGGTGTAACGGTGATATATGCAAATGTTTTTTTTAAATCGGAACAAAATTGTGACCTCCATAGGTTCCACAAGCTAAAAAATGTGATTTTTCGTACAATCAGGGGCCATAATTCAGGAAGTTACGGTCTGATATGCGCGAATATCGAAAGGAACCAAGATTTTAGGTTATAAACTTACATTTCAAATTTCAACAAAATCAGATAAAAATTGTGACCTCTATTTGGTCCACAAGCTAAAAACGCGATTTTTCATACAATCAGGGGCCATAATCCATGAAGTTACGGTGCGATACATGCCAATATCGAAAGGAAACAAGATCTAAGAGAGATAAACCTATATTTCAAGTTTCGTTGAAATCAGATACAAATTGTGACCTGTACACAATTGTGGACAGATGGATATACAGGGGCATATAAAAATGAATAAATGCTTCCAAAAAGACTTTAAGACTGTCAAGATCATAGGTTTTGTCAAAGTTTGGCTCCCAATATCTGCCAAAATTTGTTGAAAATCAAAAATCTGCATTAGCAAAGATATGTCAAAATATATGAACTGTTCAAATCTTATGACGTTTGTTAAAATTTTGGCGATAATTAAAAAGATCGGTTGCTAGGCAACAAAACATACGTCCACAGCAGCCAAATTATCCGGGCAGTCAACAAGGGTTGTCACATAATTTTTTCTTTTGTCAGTGATGAAAACATTTAAAATAAACAAAAATCTGATTACGAGTAACAACCCATTAAAGGAGGCAAGTCTTTAACTCAATACCATCCACAGTCTTCGACATTGCAAACACGACTTGTTGGTCAATTTAAAACAACATCGATGTTGTTATCTTACCATGAAAAGATGGGCTTATTAGTGCCATTTGTATTGAATCAACTCTATGAACGAGGCTAAATATATCCTACAGGGGAGAATACTACTGGTACTGGCGTGCATAGGCGTACGAGGAAATTTTTTACTGGGGGGGCGGTGGTGGTTGGTGCCCCAAAAATGTAGTTAGGTTCTTAGTATGTTACATAATAATCATAATATCTCTTTTGCGATGAATAAGTTCTTAATTTCTAAATCATCAATAAAAGAGAACTAAATTTTATTTACTTGTAATATACACAACTAAAAACAGTTGTTTATGTAACTGTAATTTGTGGCTTACTGTACTCCAAACAATAGAGGGTTCGAGTCTTAAGATTTCTATTTAATTGCCTAACTATAGACACTCTGAATTTAAATTCGCTGTTAAATTTGATGCATTCAAGAACACAATATTTTTTTATACAACTTTTACAAAGTACAATTGTGTGCCCAAATTTTCCCAGCATTTGGTGCCCAAAATGGGGGGGCGGCTGCCCCCCAGCTCGTACGCCAATGCTGGCGTGGACTAGAATAACCAGATGGCAAAGACTACCCTTCAATTTGGAATCTTCTCGTATTTCGCGGAACGTAACTGATTAGAAATTACAGTAAAGATAGGTTGCCAGGCAACGAAAAATACGCACACAGTAACTAAATCGTCCGAGCAGTCGACAAGGGTTGTCAAATATTTATTCCTTTGTAGGTAATTGGGGGCCTTCACAAGGCAGTTCCATACAGATCAGATTATAATTTTTGCGGTTAGAGGGTTCACAAAGTTCTACAAATTGAAACAAAGGTCTCAACTCTGGAAGTAATCTACAGAAATTGTTGAAATTTGACAGGCTTTTTCGTTTCACAAATTTAAAAGATGCATATAAATTTCATACATATCGGATGATAACTTTCATCAATCGAGCACTAACAAAGTTGAACAAAGTGAAACAAGGGCAATAACTCTAGAAGTAATAAATGGAAATTGCTGAAATTCAATAGGATTCTTCTCTTTACTAATCTAAATGACGCATGTAAATTTCATACAGATCGGCAGATAACTTTTGATGTTAGAGCATTCACAAAGTTCAATAAAGTGAAACAAGGGCCGTAACTCTAGACGTAATACACAGAAATTGCTGAAATTCAATAAGCTTCTTCATTTCACTTATCTAAATAATGCATATAAATTTCAGAAAGATCAGATGGTAACTTTTGGCGTTCGAGCGTTCATAAGGTTCAATAAAGTGAAACAAGGGCCATAAATCTAGACGTAATACACAGAAATTGCTGAAATTCAATAGGCTTTTTCGTTTCCCTAATTTAAATAATGTATATAAATTTCAGACAGATAGGATGATAACTTTTGGGGTTAGAGTGTTCAGAAGGTTAAATAAAGTGAAAAAAGGGCCATAACTCTAGAAGTAATAAACGGAAATTGCTGAAATTCTATAGGCTTCTTCGTTTCCCTAATTTAAATATTGCATATAAATTTCACAAAGATCGAATTTTAACTTTCGGCATTAGAGCGTTCACAAGGTTCAACAATGTGAAACAAGGGCCATAACTCTACATGTTATAAACAGAAATTATTGAAATTAAATAGGCTTCTTTGTTTCACTAATTCAAATAATGCATATAAATTTCAGAAAGATAGGATGATAACTTTTGGGGTTAGAGCGTTCACATTGCAAGGTTCAATAAAGTGAAACAAGGGCCGTAACTCTAGACGTAATACACAGAAATTGCTGAAATTCAATAGGCTTCTTCGTTTCCCTAATTTAAATATTGCATATAAATTTCACAAAGATCGGATGTTAACTTTTGGAATTAGAACGTTCACAAGGTTCAACAAAGTGAAACAAGGGCCATAACTCTAGACAGTATATAAACGGAAATTATTGAAATTAAATAGGCTTCTTCATCTCACTAATGTAAACAACATATATCAGTTTTTCAAACAATTGGATGATAACTTTTGGCGTTAGAGTGTTCACAAGAAATTGTGGATGATGGATGGACGGACGGGGGCGACGGCAATATACGTCCACATTTCTAAGTGGGCATATAAAAACAGAAATAATTGAATCTAAATCAGTTTCTATATATTGATATTACATCCATTTCTAGGTGCCAAAGAATAGCGATTTAGCTCCTTTAACTAATTATTAGAAATGATTAGTATTTGCTTAGATTGCTTGTCTCATGACCTTAAACACTGTGTATAAATTTATATTAACTTTAGCCTCTAGATTTCGTCCACAAGATTTCTCATGTGATCAAGGGCCATACACACCGTGTATAAATTTATAGTCAATCGGATATTAACTTTAGAGCCTCTAGAGCGTCCACAAGATTTTTCAAGTGATCAAGGGTCATAGA